CAGGAAAGCTCTCTCTATGCCTCGGGAGCACCTGGATCTGCACACAAGGTGCAGGGAGTAATGTGAGTACTCCGACCCAGTGAGTAATAATCATAAATAATGGCTGACAGTAAGAAATCACGTAAAGGCACTAAGCAGTTCTATATCAAGCAGTAAATCAACTCAAAGCAACAAAATAGTGAATAAGTCAAGTGGAATATCCTTAGATCAGGTAAGACAGGTAGTTTATCAAGGATTTTACAAGTATAATTCCGTTCCTCGTACACAGTAACCATATATCTCTCACAATAACCAAAATGAAAATAATCGCTGCAGCGTGCAGCCCGATCCGTACATCGCTGTGGCGCACAACCAGATCCATATAAATAGTCGACTGCGCTCACTGGGGGTGTGCAGACTCCGGGAGGGGTCCTACAGCCCAAGCGCTATATTGCTGCGGCGCGCATCCCGATCCATATAAACATTTGTTGCGGCGTGCAGCCCGATCCATATAAGTATTTGCTGCGGCGTGCAGCCCGATCCATAATATATATAATATCTTCACTGTTGGGTTCTCAACCCCTCTCAGTCATTTTACTCACAGCCTCTCGGGTACATTAATATAAGGTAGGGATCTCAGCCCACATATTTCCCTCATTTAGGATTAGCATTGATATAACCGGTTCACATTGTTTAAACAAATAGAAACATGACTGAGGATGTGATTTTTAATAAGTAAAGTGAGGAAAATCAGTCATAATGCCCCTAAGGGTTCTAAAAGTCAGCACAAGGCCCCAAATATGGCAGCTAGCCCAAATCATAATGATAATAATTAAATCTCAGTCAAAATACGGTGAAATCATCAATCGGGATGGACCAAGTCACAATCCCCAGTAGTAATGGACCCCACGCTCATCATACAGCGTGTGTCTCACCTCAACATAGCACTACGTTGTGCAAATCAGGGGTTTCAAACCCTCAGGACACCATTTACAATCATTACTCACCTCAAATCGGCCAAAGCTCTAGCTCGCTATGCCCTTGCCTCTCAAATCGGCCTCCTCACACGTCAAATCTGACCAAAACCAGAGCGAATACGTCACAATATGCTAAGGGAACAAAGCCCAAGCGAAAACATCAAAAATATATCAAAATCTCAAAATTAGCAAAACCCGAGCCCCGGGCCCACTTCTCGAAACTCAGAAATTTTCACGTCAACGGGTTGCTTATCTCGCCACGAGTCCATACATATCAAAAACTCTCAAATCCAACCTCAAATGGCCCTTCAAATCCCAATTTAAAATTTCAAAATCCCAAGCCCTAGTTCTTCCCTTTTTAGCTAAATTTCCATGAATTTCTAGGTTGATTCCACAATATAATCACGTTTTTGGTTCATAAAACTTACCCCCAATCAATCCTCTTCTAATCCCTCTTCAATTTCTCCCAAAGAGCTCTCAAAATACCCAATAATGGAGGAAAAATGACTTAGGCTCGCGGATGAAATGTTTAAAAACCCTTCTGTCCAGCTACTGACTTCCTTCTATGCGATCGCGGCCCCACGCTCGCGATCGCGAAGAGCAATATTTCAAGACCTCCAACTTGACCTATGCGAATGCAACCTATTTCATGCGAACGCGATGAATGATTTCCCAGAACTATGCAAACGCGGCCCTCCTGATGCGAACGCGGAGAACAACTTAGCTGGACCCTCAATTTCCACTATGTGAATGCGGACCACTCACTGCGAACGCGAAGCTTCACCATTTAACTCTCTGCGATCGCGAACTCCCAAAACGCGAACGCGATGAACAAATCTCAGGCCTCCCAAATTCCTTCTATGCGAACGCGGGGGACCTCCCGCGATCGCGAAGGTCAAAATTCCTCTGCAATAGCTGCTGCATTTCTACAATTTCCTAAGTCCCAAAAACCTTCCGTTAGCCATCCGAAATCACCCCGAGGCCCCCGGGACCTCAACAAAAAGTACCAACCCATCCTAAAACATCATTCAAACTTGTTCCAATCATCAAAACACCTCAAACAACACCAAAACCATCAAATTACATCGAATTCAAGCCTAAGTTCTTCTAAAACTTCCGAAACACGCATTTGATCAAAAACCCAACCAAATCACCTCCGAATGACCTGAAATTTTACACACACATCCCAAATCACATAACGAAGCTACAGCAACTCTCGGAATTCCATTCCGACCCTTGGATCAAAATCTCACCTATCAACCGGAAATCGCCAAAATACTAACTTCGCCAATTCAAGCCTAATTCTACACCGGACCTCCAAAACCACTTCCGATCACACTCCTAAGTCACAAATCATCCCCCGAAGCTAACCGAATCATCGGAAATCACATCCGAGCCCTCTAAGGCATAAGTCAACATCCGGTTGACTTTTCTAAACTAAGCCTTCCTTAAAGAGACTAAGTGTCTCACTTCTTACCAAATTCACTCCGAACTCAACCCAATCAACTCAACCACATAAAACACGGATAACGAAGCATAAAGAAGCAGAAATGGGGAAAAATGGAGCGGTAACTCATGAGACGACGTGCCGGATCGTCACACTAGTAAGCAAAGTGTCGAACCAGAACCACTTGGGTTCCCCCAGATCATCTCAAGGATCTAGGAAGTCAAGGAGCCATGGTGCGTAGAAGGCCAGGACCGGCCGGAGAAGACATGGAAACATCACAAGCTTGAGATACATGCCGGTGACGGTGTTTTAGAACTAAGGTTCAGTCGAGAGAGTTGAGAGAAGAGGGAAGGGGTGACGGCGGGTGAGAGGAGTGAATGAGAGTGGTTTGGGGGGTTTGGTCTAGGTTTAATTAAGGTAAGGAAAATGTGGACCGTTGATCTGAATGATCAACGGTCAGGATTGAGTGGGGTATTGGGTCGGGTAGGTCATATTTGGGCCTGGTTGTGTTTGGGCTAATTTTAATTGAATTGGGATTGAGCCATTTAATTAGGCTAGGTCTGAAATAAAAGGGGTCATTTGTTAAATACTCATTTAATTGATAAAAATAATTTTTTAAAACTAGTTAATGAATTAAAAAATGATTTTCATGCCTAGAAATGTTTTGAAATAACTACTTAATATTCTAAAAATATAAAAGGCTATTTCCAGGTAAAATAATGTAATAATGCATGCATGGGCTATAATTGCAAAGTAATTGCAATTGTAACCTAAAAAGTAAAAATGTGGCTATTTGTGCAATAATTGAAACTTAGAACAAATGCAAATGATGAAATTAAGTCACAAAATTATTATAAAATAATTTGTGATGCAATCAGTGATTTTTTTGATAAATAAAATACTGGAATAAATCAATTAAAATCTTATAAAAATGCAGAATTTGTGTGAAAATTACTAATTGATACCAATGAATAGTTTTGAAAATATTATAGGGAATAATTGGGTATCAACAACTTGTAAGAAGAGGCTTCTACTCACTTTGTAAAATAATCAATAGCTACAAAGATAAATCTATGCCCATTCGATGTGGCAGGCTCAATAGGGCCAATGACATCCATGCCCCCAGCCTCAAACGGCCAAGGGGAACTGGTCACATTGAGTTCATTCGGTGGGACTTGAATAATATCATCGTGAATGTCACGACCCAATTTAGGATCATGACCGGTACTTAGGAGCAAGTACTCCCAAGTAAGCCTCTTCGGTGTTTTACAGAAAATCGGACAGAGTTTTCCCAGTCTTAGGACTATCCAAAAATAAACCTGTCTTAGAAATTACCAACACAACAACCCAATATTCACCTAAATCATTCATAATCTTCATCAACTAACCAAAAATGAGTTTTTACCATCATTACCAACCTTATCAACATAATAATACTAAACCCATTTCAAAAATACGAAAAGAAGTCCAATACTAGTAACTAGTCCAATATAACGAATGAATACTCATGACTCTAATAAAAATGACTATGGAGCAACTCTAAGAGTTCATAAGGAAGGACGATAATGAATAAATAAACTCATCACCCACGCGAAAAATTGCGGGGCTCACCAGGAACTATCAACTCGTGTACTATAATTAGCGAAATCCTCGCTCGCGTCAACTGCTGTCTCTGTAAAAAAAATTGCAGGGAGTGAGTCGCTAGCTCAGTGAGTAATAACACTTAACCACAACCGTTTTTATTCGGGGACAAGTCAGAAAATATGCTAGTATATTATACAGAAAATATCATAAGAATGCCCTTTCAGAAATAATAATCGGTCTTATCATGTGTTTCCTGTAACAGAAATCAATTTAACAATTCGATAACAAACTCGGTAAGCAGTGTCTCATAGCAAATCTTTAGGTTTTGGAGGTTTCCAATAAAGGATCATGTAAGCTGTATCATTGTGTGGACCCCTTCATAAAAGGAGTCAAATTTAACTGTAGGTCCTTACTCGAGGGAAAAACTGTAACTATATGCTAGTTCTACCTTCCCACTAGTGAGGGCTATAACTGTAATCGGTAATCTGTAAATACAAGGTACACCAGGTCTAACGAACCCGCCATTAGCTACGGGATCCTTCAAAGTCTCCTCCCATTTATACTCTTTCTTGTAAGCAGTAAATACTCGTACAAAAGTATTTTAAAAATAATAAAGGGCATATCATTTCTTATCACATCTTATAATTTTATTTTGGTAATAGTAATCATGTCTCAAGTAATAGTAAAATATGTCTAGTAACAGTGATAATAATTTAAATACTGTAACATCTCAAGTAACGGTAAAACATATCTAGTAACGGTGAAAACATTCAGATTAACCAGTAAACATCTCAAGTAAACTGTTCGGTACCATATCAAGTAAAAGACTTGTCCCACATGCAATTTCAAAGCATCGGTAACATATTTATTTTCAAAATCATATATATATCATGCAGGTTATGAAAACACAAATTGTGATAAGATTACTACTCACAATACTTGTGCCGAAATACCAAACGCGCGAGCAATCCGTACAACTTCTCCAACTACCTATACTATCATAAAACCAATCTATATATCAACCTTACGTACTACCAATACAATTGGTTAAATTCTGTTAAGTTTAATTAATTCACTTATTTTATTTTTTTCTTGGAATACAACTATTGACTCTCTGTCAATTCATACAGGCGTATTTCAATGAAAAGAAAGATGAATCATATTTTTATATCTTGCTTTACATTGTTACTACAATCTCTAAATGAATAAGAATTCAATTCGTTAGGAGGGCAAGAATAGTACTTGCTATAAAGTTCTTTATAAGCATTCATGACTCCTCCACAGATTGCTAAAGATACAAAAGTTTTACATATTCTTTCTTGTTTTCACTCACTTTTAGCCAATATCATTATTTAACTCCAATCATTAAGATATATTCTCAAATTAGTGAAATAAAGTACCTTGAAATTTGAAACAAAAATTGGCTGGAAAAAGCTTGCTTTTTGCGACACCAGCTTTTTCCCCAACTCTCCTTGTGTACTTTGGTTATTGCCTTTCCTCCTCCTTATCTTCTGTTTTTTTTTTCTTCTTCTAAACCTTGTTAGCAGCAATTGCTGGGTCTCCCTATCCTTAACCCCTTTTCTTCTTTTTGTTCCAGTGGGCTTCCGCCCTTTTTTGTCCATTCCTTTTTTTTTTTCTTCTTTTTTGTTTTGTTTTGTTTTATTTTGTTTTATTAGTTTATTACTCCTTTTTTTTACTTAAAATATTTACTAAATATTCAATATATCCTAATATATAGTTATGGATTATTACATCCTCCCCACCTTATAAAAATTCGATCCCCGAATTTAGCTCAGGTACATACCTATAGACTGAACAAATGGGGGTACTTCGCTTGCATATCTTTTTCTACTTCCCAATTAGCTTCTTCAACTGTGTGATTTCACTATAAGACTTTTACGAACTCAATTTCTTTTGATCGTAGCTTTCTTACTTGCCTATCAACAATAGCCATCGATTCTTCCTCGTAAGATAACTTCTCATCAAGCGGTATAGCAGGTGCTTCAAGTACTTGAGAGGAGTCTGATATACATTTGTTTTTCATGGAGACATGAAACACTAATGAATATTAGATAACTAAGGAGGAAGTTCCAAACGATATGCCACAGCTCCCACACGGTCAAGTATTTCATACTGACCTATAAACCTCGGGCTCGACTTACCTCTTTTTCTGAATCGCATCACGCCCTTCATAGGAGATACCTTTATGAACACTCTGTCTCCATTTGTGAACACTAAGTCTCTTCTTCTCTTATCCGCATAAGATTTTTTTGTCTGTTTTAAACTGTGAGCAATCGTGGTCTGATCAATTGAACCTTGTCAATAGCTTCTTGCACTAAGTCGGGTCCCAATAAGTTAATCTCACCAGCTTCAACCTTCCGCTAGGAGAACGACATCTTTTACCATATAATGCTTCGTACGATGCCATCTTAATACTGGACTGGAAGCTATTATTGTAAGCAAATTCAGCTAAAGGTAGATAAGCGTCCCAACTATATCCAAACTCAAGAATACAATCTCTCAACATATCCTCCAAGATTTGTATAGCACATTTGGACTTTTCGTTTGCGTGCCATAAAACTAGTATTAAGATCTACTCGTGTACCCAATATTTCTCGAAAAGATTTTCAAATCGTGAAGTGAATGTGATCCTCTATTAGATCTGATAGACAATAGAGCTCTATTGAGTCAGATAACTTTCTGTTCATGTATATCAATGCATATTTTACCTCACTATAAGAGGTTTTGACTAGCAAGAAACGTGGCTACTTGGTAAGCCAATTTATAACTTTCCCACATATAATCATACCTCTAATGGCTTGAGTAATTTAGTCATACAATGTATTGGTCTGTTGTATTTCCACTTCAGTGTCTTAAGTAGTTTTAGTGGGCATGTGAGTCACAAGTGCTTGCCTTAACATACTGACATGTCAAATAGTTAGAAACAAAGTTAACGGATTTTTTTTCCTTCTTTCTTTTCCAACCAATCAAATTTTTTTTATAGTCATGGTGCATCTTATAGACCTGAGATATACAGTGTATCTAGAGTTGTGAGCTCCATCACGAATAGCTTGTCTCAACCCATATATGTTTTCTGCAAATAATTAATTACCTAGTCGAAGAATACCCTCACTATTAACAGTTATATCCTTGCTTTTACCAGCTAGAAACCAATCTCGGTAATTAAACAGTCGTTTATCCTCGTATTGTCTAGCCTTTTTACACTCTACATCGGGCTTGACCAATAGCCAATAATGTGTTTGAATTATTATTTTTCACATTGAATCTAATACGTGTACCCTCTAGTTTAGACATATCTTCGTCCAGAAGTATCTCTACTGGAGCTAAATGCGTCAAATCACCCATAGTTTTTTTGGCATAAGCTATAATATTTATCTTTCCCGAACAGTACAAAACAGTACAATTATATCTTCAGTAGTTCCCTCCATCAACATTGCTAAATATTTATATCTCTGTTGGTTTTAAATGTACTTCAGGCTCTTGTGCTAGGTATAAATCTCATAGGTTTCTTCGTATAAATAGTGTCTCTAAATCTTAAAAGGAAATACCAATATGACCATCTCCAAATCATGAATGGCATAATACGACTTGAGCTTCTTCAATTTCCTTGGAGCATAGGCTATCACGCGATTATTTTGCATGAGAAAATATTCTAATCCTACCATCGAAGTATCGCATAACATCGTGAATTCTCTAGAGCCTATTGGAATAAGGCTAATATTAGTGTAGTTGTCAAACGTGCTTTCTCATTGTACATTTCTCCATCCACTGAAATTTAGCGATTTTCTATGTTAACTTGGTGAGTGGTGCTGCTATTCTAGAGAATTGTACACAAATGCCTATAGTAGCTTGTCAAGCCAGAAGTAATCTCTGTAGGGGAAATGGGTCTCAGCCATCTGTGAACTGTTTATATCTTTTTAGAATCTATCATTTTTTTGTTCTTAGATACTATGTGTCCTATGAATACCATCGAGTCTAGCTAATTGAAGAACTTGGAAAAAAAAGTTGATTTTCCTACAGCGTCTTTGGCATATTTTTCAAGTGATTCTCGTGCTTTTCCTGGGTACGAGAATATACCAGAATATAGTAAATAAAAGTTATGAATTTTTTTTCTCCAAAAACAACTTTGAACACCATATTCATTATATACATCAAGGCAATTGGAGAATTGGCCAATCTAAAGGACATCACAGGTAACTCATAATGTTTGTACCGAGTACTAGAGGCAACATCAAAATATCTTCCTTTCTTATTCTAAGCTGATGATAACCAGACTAAAGATCAATGGCTCCTTGTAAAATGATCAAACAAGTTATCTATACAAGACAAGGGATATTTGTTGTGTATTATTATCTTATTTAATTATCTGTAGTTTGGCCCACATTCTTAAAGACTCATCCCTTTTTTTTCAAACAATATTAGTGTACCCCATGGTGCAACACTCGGTATGATAAAACCTATGTCCAGTAGGTCTGTCAATTATTCAATTAGCTCTCTCAACTCTGTTGGTGCCATATGATATAGTTTGCGTGTCAGGTGTCACCTCAATACCGAAGTCTATTTCTCATATTGGAGGTAGTCCTAGTAAATCCTTAGGAATACATTAGAGAATCTCTCATTATGATACTTCTTTTTTTCTTTCTCAAACTAAGTGTTTCTTCTCTTGTACCTCTTACCGTATCAATGGATCCAAACAACCTTTCTTCTATAACCGTTAAGTCTTTAAAATATATAATTTGCTCGTCTCTAAAACCTATAATCCCCTTTTTGGACAAAACCAGCTTTTAAAGTTCACGAAACCTAGTGCTCTTTCTATAGTAATCGAGGGTAGCATGGTAAGTAGATAATTAATCCATATCCATCTGTAAGTTAGAGTCAACCATATCAAGTACAACTTGGTTAGCTAGGGTTTTCTTCTCTTAACTTGAATCTTAAAAGCTTTAAACACATTTCTAACTACTATAAAATTTTCACAGATGTGGAAACTTGAAAAGGATCGCTTAATATCTCAAAACATTCTTGATTTTTTAAAATCTTCAACTCATATTAAAATTTATACTAAAAGATATTCTAATCTTGATCTTCTTATGTGAGTTCTTGCCCGCCTATCATGTCCATATTTTCAATCTTTCTAGTAAGTGCAACCGCTACAGAATAGGTTCAAGTCTTCATATATGCAGTTAATATCTTGTTTAAACAATTAACCAACCTTTCAAAAAGCCTATAAACATATGATGTTGCTTGTGTATCCAGCTGAGAAAGTTTGGTGTTATTTGTAAGTATACCCTCGTCTAAGTCAATTTCTTAAATGATCTAACAGTCAAGCTGACGTCACAAATTGTCAAGAAGAAAGTGATTCATAAACACTTTAGTGAAATTATTCCCAAATTAGTTTTGTTGCTCTTGTTGGCATTAAGAGTACAGTAGCATTTCATGTATTTTCCGTGTTCTCTAGTCTAAAAGTTGCATGTTCCATAGACCTCTTCATGAAATATCCTATAGCTCGTAACGTGGTAAGTATTTTACTAAAACCTTTAAGGATCCTTTGATCTATCAGAAATAGTAAACTTAGTAGTTTCAACTTTAGGAACTTTATTAAGAATATTTTGTTTTTCCCTATAATCTTCTAGGTGCATGAGGACTTTAGAGCCCCTATTCTGTTGCTCATTCTTCTCATGTTTATCCATTATATCCATAAAGATCTCAGTTTTTTTTTTATTTTTCATGGAGGTAAGTACCTTTTTGTGGTAGCACTCCTCTATCGCTGTAGTGGTGGACTAGTATAAATTTCCGAAATAGACTCTATTACGCATCTCACCGAAAAGCACCTCATATGGCACAATGAATCTTTCACTGGTCTTGTATACTACTTATGTAGCATTTCTTTGCTTGGAGATGGTTGCATGTCCATTGGCGAAATTTGACGTATTTGATGTTTGAATCACTAGCCAAATTCTATGATAAGGCAATTGGTCCGAGTCATACATGAATAGGATAAGTAATGATCGATTCAGTTATTTGACCCTAATCGCCACACATATACGGAGGAATAAGAAAGAAAGACAAGACACATCCTATCACGCCATCGCAGAATCACGATTATGGGAATGGCCGGCTACATAACCGTAATTGAGATTCTACTACCGACATGTGCTCCATTAGTCACAAGAATAACCTAGGGCTCTGATACCAACTTTGTCACGACCCAATTTAGGATCATGACCGGCACTTAGGAGCAAGTACTCCCAAGTAAGCCTCATCGGTGTTTTACAGAAAATCAGACAAAGTTTTCCCAGTCTTAGGACTATGCAAAAATAAATCTGTCTTAGAAATTACCAACACAACCAACCAATATTCACCTACATCATTTATAATCTTCATCAACTAACCAAAAATGAGTTTTTACCATCATTACCAACCTTATCAACATAATAGTACTAAACTTATTTCAAAAATACGGAAAGAAGTGCAATACTAGTAACTAGTCCAATATAACGAATGAATACTCATGAAGCTAATAAAAATGACTATGGAGCAACTCTAAGAGTTCATAAGGAAAGAACGATAATGAATAAATAAACTCATCACCCACGCGAAAAAGTGCGGGGCTCACTAGGAACTATCAACTCGTGTACTCTAATTAGCGAAATCCTCGCTCGCGTCAACTGCTGTCTCTGTAAAAAAAAATAGCGGGGAGTGAGTCGCTAGCTCAGTGAGTAATAACACTTAATCACAACCATTTTTATTCGGGGACAAGTCAGAAAATATGCTAGTATATTATACAGACAATATCAGAAGAATGCCGTTTCAGAAACAATAATCGGTCTTATCATGTGTTTCCTGTAACAGAAATCAATTTAACAATTCGATAACAAACTCGGTAAGCAGTGTCTCATAGCAAATCTTTAGGTTTTGGAGGTTTCCAAGAAAGGATCGTGTAAGTTGTATCATTGTGTAGACCCCTTCGTAAAAGGAGTCAAATATAACCGTAGGTCCCTACTCGAGGGAAAAACTGTAACTATATGCTAGTTCTACCTTCCAACTAGCGAGGGCTATAACTGTAATCGGTAATCTATAAATACAAGGTGCACCAGGTCTAACGAACCCGCCGTTAGCTACGGGATCCTTCAAAGTCTCCTCCCATTTATACTCTTTCTTGTAAGCAGTAAATACTCGTACAAAAGTATTTTCAAAATAATAAAGGGCATATCATTTCTTATCACATCTTGTAATTTTATTTTGGTAACGGTAATCATGTCTCAAGTAATAGTAAAACATGTCTAGTAACAGTGATAATAATTTAAATAACTGTAACATCTCAAGTAACGGTAAAACATATCTAGTAACGGTGAAAACATTTAGATTAACCGGTAAACATCTCAAGTAAACTGTTTGGTACCATATCAAGTAAAAGACTTGTCCCACATGCAATTTCAAAGCATCGGTAACACATTTATTTTCAAAATCATATATAAATCATGCAGGTTATAAAAACACAAATTGTGGTAAGATTACTACTCACAATACTTGTGCCGAAATACCAAACGCGTCCCCACGAGCAATCCGTACAACTTCTTCAATTACCTATACTATCATAAAACCAATCTATATATCAACCTTACGAACTACCAATACAATTGGTTAAATTCTGTTAAGTTTAATTAATTCACTTATTTTTTTCTTTCTTGGAATACAACTATTGACTCTCTATCAATTCATATAGGCGTATTTTAATGAAAAGAAAGATGAATCATATTTTTATATCTTGCTTTACATTGTTGCTACAAGCTCTAAATGAATAAGAATTCAATTCGTTTGGAGGGCAAGAATAGTACTTGCTACAAAGTTCTTTATAAGCATTCATGATTCCTCCACAAATTGCTAAAGATACAAAAGTTTTACATATTCTTCCTTGTTTTCACTCACTTTAAGCCAATCTCATTATTTAACTCCAATAATTAAGATATATTCTCAAATTAGTGAAACAAGGTACCTTGAAATTTGAAACAAAAATTGGCTGGAAAAAGCTTGTTTTTTGCGGCACCAGCTTTTTCCCCAACTCTCCTTGTGTACTTTGGCTGTTGCCTTTCCTCCTCCTTATCTTCTATTTTTTTTTCTTCTTCTAAACCTTGTTGGCAACAATTGCTGCGTCTCCCTATCGCTAACCCCTTTTCTTCTTTTTGTTCCAGTGGGCTTCGGCCCTTTTGTGTCAATTCCTTGTTTTTTTCTTCTTTTTTTTGTTTTGTTTTGTTTTATTTTATTAGTTTATTACTCCTTTTTTTTACTTAAAATATTTACTAAATATTCAATATATCCTCATATACAATTATGGGTTATTACAGTGAATCTGACACTGATGACATTTCTGTACAAAACGAATGCAATTTGTTTCCATGGTCATCCAAAAGTAACCTGCTCGTAGAATTTTCTTTGCCAAAGTAAAACCATTCATGTGAGCCCCCCATGTTCCTGCATGTATCTCTTTCAATTAGCTTGGTTGCTTTTCTGGCATCTACGCACCTTAACAGTCCTAAATCTAGGGTCCTCCTATATAGGATTTCACCATTTAGGAAAAAGTGATTTGCCAATCTCCTAAGTGTTCGCTTCTGGGTACTGGTTGCTCCTTCAGGGTAATCCCTTGTCTTGAGATACCTATTAATGTCACAATACCGTGATTCTCCATCTGGCTCTTCATCCACATGGAAACAATAAGCTGGTTGATCTTGCATATTCACCTTGATGGGGTCTATGTAGTTCTTGTCTGGATGTTGAATCATGGAAGACAAAGTTGCTAAAACATCTGCGAACTCATTTTGAACTCTTGGAACATGCTCTACGTCCACTTTGATAAACTTCTTATACAACTCCTTCACACAATGTAAATATTGTAGGATTTTTGTGTTCTTTGTGTTCCATTCGCCTTGTACTTGATGAATCAGCAAGTCTGAGTCACCTATAACCAATAACTCTTGGATGTTCATGTCAACGGCCATTCTGAGCCCAAGTATACAAGCCTCATATTCTGCCATGTTGTTGGTGCACGGAAACCGAAGTTTCGCTGAGATTGGATAATGTTGTCCAGATTCTGAAACTAGTACTGCTCCAACTCCGACTCCTTTGAAGTTTGCGGCTCCGTCAAAGAACATTCTCCAATCAAAATATGCTTCTGAAATGTCTTCTCCAGCGGACAATACTTCTTCATCTGGGAAGTACGTCCTAAGTGGCTTGTATTCTTCATCCACAGGATTTTCTGCAAGGTGGTCAGCCAAAGCTTGTCCTTTGACGACCTTCTGAGTAACATACATGATGTCAAACTAACTTAGCAAAATCTGCCACTTCGCCAGCTTCCCTATAGGCATAGGCTTCTAAAAGATGTACTTGAGCGGGTCCATCCTGGAAATCAGATAAGTAGTGTATGCTGACAAGTAATGCCTCAACTTTTGTGCAACTCAAGTTAAGGCACAACAGGTGCATTCCAACAAAGTATATCGTGCTTCATACGGTGTGAACTTCTTGCTCAAGTAGTATATGGCTTGCTCCTTCCTCCCAGTTTCATCATGTTGCCCCAAAACACATCCAAATGCATTATCTGATACGGAGATGTATCAATCAACACATGTTTAGCTTGAATTTTATTCATAAGTATAGATATTGCACGTGCGTCATTGTGAGGTTGTTCGATCACTTCTGCATCCTCGTCGTTGAAAGACAAGGTCTCTTCTGGTAAGTAGTCCTGAATCCGTTTTTCTCTTGTGATCGTCACATTGGTGCGTTTGAATACCGGTCCCTGAGGAACATCGACCCCTCCAACGATCATTTGGATCATATGTTGTGGCTCTTCTTGCTCATTCTGTCTGTTTGAATCTCTGTTTTTAAAGTTGTTCTTGGCCCGACCACTTAAGAATTCTCGAAGGTGCCCCTCGTTGAACAACCGGGCTACTTCCTCCCTTAGTTATCTACAATCTTATGTTTTGTTCCCATGGGTAGCATGATACTTGCATATTGGATTTGGGTTTTTCTAGGCCGTATCGGTTTGCAGAGGTCGACGCCACCTGGTATCTTTGATGCGCCTAATGGCGGATACTTTGGCGGAAGCATCTACGCTGAAGCTATATTCTGAAAGTTGAGGCGCTTCTTTGGACCCGACATCCCTATCGAAACGACTTTTCCTCATGAGCCCTCGGGAGATTTCCCCCCGATCATTCCTTCTATCATTACGAACGAGATTTGTGTCGAGACCCGCTATTTCTCCGATCTCTCCCGTATGGCTGATATCGGTCTCTGTTCGATTATGGTTCCTGATCGATGTCCTTTTTAACTCTGTCCACGGGCATGTTGGGATAAATCGAACTAATTGGAGCCCCAAGTTGATCGTCTTCGACCCTAATCTTTGACTGATACAGATTATGTACATCGGACCACGTGACGACTGGATATTTGACCAAATTCTGCTTTAATTGTTGTGAAGCTATGGAACTATGTTCGTTGAGACCTTGAGTGAAGGCTTGAACATCCCAATCGTTGGTGACCGGAGGCAAATCCATTCGTTCCATTTGAAATCGAGATATGAATTCCCTGAGCATCTCGTTGACTTTTTGCCTTACCTTGAATAAGTCCGACTTTCTAGTTGCAACCTTAATGGCTCCAGCATGCGCCTTTACAAAGGAATCTGCAAGCATAGCGAATGAATCAATAGAGTTAGGTGGTAAATTATTATACCATATCATAGCACCCCTTGATAGAGTTCTCCGAATTTCTTCAGCAACACGGATTCAATTTCATCATCTTCCAAGTCATTTCCCTTAGTGGCGCACGTATAAGAGGTGATGTGTTCATTTGGATCGGTCGTCCCGTTATACTTCAGATCTCGAGCATACGGAACTTCTTTGGGACTGGCTTCGAAGCCGCACTTGGGGGGAAATGTTTTAGGACAAACTTTTTGGAATCAAGCCCTTTCAATACCGGTGGTGCACCCGGGATTTGATCGACCCTAGAGTTGTAAGTTTCCACCTTCTTATCATGTTCCTCGATCTTCTTTTCCCTTGTCTCGATCCGCTTCGTCAGTTCCTCGAGCATCTTTACGATAGCGGGATTATTCTCCGACTCTCCTTCATTCGATCTCTTTGGCACCGGTTTGGCTCTATGAACAAATTCTAGCGATGGCTCGAGCTCGATACTACTTGGTGCACGATTCTGATTTTGGAGTTGTGCTATTGCGGCTTATTGAGTCTGCAACATCTCGAATATCATTCGAAGGCTAATTCCGCCTTCTTCACCGCTCTACGCATTCTGATTGGCTATTTGAGCGTCTCTGCGAATGCTATTTTCAGGTTCGGCGCCCAAATTCCCATTAATGGCAATATGGGATCTGATATCGACTGGGTCTACGGCCGACGGTCCATCGGGGTTGACTGGAGGTACTCCATTTTCCGGGGCGGCTATGTTTTCGTTCTCGCCATGAAGACCAAGGTCGTTGTCTGTATGAGTGGGTGCTACTTGAGAGTATGACATGTTAATTCCTGAAATTAAAGACACTTACGAGAACAAGCGTAAAGCAGTGTGTGTTATGAGAATTAATACCATGCAATCACTATTATCCTTAGCCCTACGGCGGGCGCCAAGTTGTTTACCCTTAAAATCGGATAAAAATTAAACTTATAAGTGGTTTTAAGGATATCTAACTTCACCTGGCACCAGTTGATAAATATAGTGATTAATAGAAGAAATAAACAACAAAATAAAGCAAACCAGTATTAAAATGCAATTCAGCCCTCGAGCTAGGTCGCCCTCGAACTGAGTGAGTGAGAGTAGAGTTATGAAACCAACTGATGAACAAGAGAATATAGGAGAAAAGAGTATTGTATTGCTTTGATATGCGTTAATTTAAGGTGATTACAAAATGATTAGAACCCTCTTTATATAGTAGAGGAATCCTATCTATGGTATAATTCTAATTACAGAAGTAAATCCCATGATTAGCTAAACAACCGCCCTTGATTTTAACTGTACCGAGATTTCCGCCATGATCTTCGACCAATCACGCAATATCTCGCCTTTCCGTTGTTATGCTATCTTCGTTCTTGCTCGATGTCTGTCCCGTTCGACCTCGGTCGTTACTGGTTTCGACCTTGCTAGGTACCTCGAATCCCGAACCCGATACCTTTTCCTCGTATCTCGATTGGGCAAGCCATGGGACTGATCCTCGGTCCATCCTCCTAGTCTTGGTTAATTAGTTAAATTGGGTGGGCCCGATTTTGACCGTATACACATAACTTGTTCGACTTTTAAATTAGGCACGCAACCTTATCGAAGTTGTAGATGGAAGTGAAATTCTGTCTTTATACTAGTTTCCTCAAGACTTTTGCACCTCACTGCTCAAATTTTGGTAGCGCCAACTCATGATGAATAATATATAACCTATCCCTTTTCTGCTCTCATACTCTGCAAAACTAGAAGGATGCTTTAGTAACAAAAGGTAAGAAAATAGAGGAGACAGGGACGGCCCTTGCCTGAAGCAGGCAAAGCAATTGCTTTAGGCCCCATATTTTTTAAGGTTCCATTTTTTGTTACACCTAATAGATTATATATAAACTAAAAAAAAAGTTATGTGAAGTGAAAAATTTTGATTTCTTTCTTAACAAATATAGAGTAGAAGGATTTGCAACTGTTGTGATTTGTGCCAAGGAAATTGTATTTGAAATGAATATCGAACACGAATTTCATAAGAAACGTGTGATATATAGGAAGAAATAATTTGACGAGAATGTTGAAAATCCCTCGAAGAGTCCTTCAGAGTTGATTACTTTTTATACATAGTGGACAAGGCTATTTTTCACTTCAAAATAGATTTGAACAATTCAACATATGAAAATATTTTTGATTTTCTACTTAGCGTTAAAAACTGAGACTAGATGATGAAAATTAGAAAAAATATTGCCTTAATCTTGAATGTTCCTTAAAGTATAATCACCAATCTTATATTGGCGGTTTAGATTTATTTTCTAAATTAAAAGTATTAAGAAAAATAGTACAATTAGAAAATGCAGTTTAATTGATATACTCAATCAGATAAAAGATATGATTCTTTTCCAAATGCCTATATTGCATATAGAATAATGTTAA